TGGAAATATGTTTTTATAGTTTCTTCAATGCTGAGGAAAAAGTCGTTTCTGTAGGTAGGTGGAAAATTTCCTAGGAGATTTGCCCCAGCAGGTTATCTGTGTGCAGGTGGTTTTTGGAGGAGAACTCTCAGGCATGCTACCTATGATGGGGTGAAGAAGGAGAAATTTGGTAGAGGGAAAAAATCTGAAGCTGGGATGGCCCTTGAGAGATGTCTTGACTTCAGTCAAGTGGGCCCAGCCTTGGGACCCCTCCCTTGTTTGGAGGCTGCCCAGGGCCTGAGAAATAGGTCAAGGCTGCTGACTTCAACCAACGGCAGTGTCTGGGAGGCATGCAGGGTGAAACCCTCTGTAGATAGCACTCCGAACAGGAGGAGTCTGTGCCCCCAGGTCCCAAGGAGGTCATTGATCTGCTTAAGTGACCCAGTGACTCTATGTAAGTCAAAGAAATAATGGCCTTAGAAGGCTGCATGTCCTTGCGTACTCAGAAATGCATTTGACAGAGAAAAAGGCATCTGTCAGAATTCAAGGCAGAGAAGAATGATGTAGAAAAAAGAGCTGGAAAATTTTCTAGGCAGTCCCAACCAAAAAGATTGTTTTATGGCTTAAATCCAAAAGAATCGAAGAATAGGTAAGGAGATAATAATTAAAACCTCTTAGAAATTAGAAAGTCGATGCATACTAACAGATTTGCTGAAACTTAGGAAAAGTAATATGAAGCAACAGAGAGGAAACAGAGTCAGTCCGATTTACATCCAGACTCAGGGATTGACAACACGAGATACAATGGAAGAAAAGGCAAAATAAGGAAGACTGAGTGGAAGTCAGTTTTAAGAGGCAGTCAGGTCCCCAAATCCCATTCCGTATTCCCATCCCAGAGACTGGGGGCATATTTCTTTCTGGAGGAAACTTTTTCTTTTTGAGGTGACATAGAAAAGGTTGTTGGTATGAGCAACAGTAGGAGGAGTTCAGGGCAGGGGACCACCCTGACCACCAGGATCCAATGCACACCCCCACCCTGAAGCTGAGACTCCCCCAGCCCCATCTTGCTGCTCCCTCCTGCTCCCTGGCCTTCTGCTTCCTGGATGGATATTGGATAGACTTTTCTGGGGAGTCTGATCAACCTAAAGACAGAATTTTAAAAGTTTCTCCATGCTGGCCAGACACGGTGGCACCCGCCTGTAATCCCAGCACTTTGGGAGGCCAAGGCGGTAGATCACCAGGTCAAGAGATCTAGACCATCCTGGCCAACATGGTGAAACCCTATCTCTACTAAAAATACAAAAAAATTAGCCAGGCATATTGGTGGGAGCCTGTGGTCCCACCTACTCCGGATGCTGAGGCAGGAGAATCACTTGAACCCGGGAGGCGGAAGTTGCAGTGAGCCAAGATGGCGCCACTGCATTCTAGCGCGGCGACAGAGAGAGACTCCATCTCAAAAAATAAAATAAAATAAAATAAAAAAGTTTCTCCATCCTAACCGTTCAGGCATGTCATCTCACAGTGCGGCTCACCGGCCACAGTCCTCCTTAGGTGCCCAGACTTCCTGTCCTTTTCATTTTGTGCAGACAACTAGAAATGCATGGTGTTTCCATGAGAAGAACAAGAGACAAACAAACACAAAAGGTGGCAACACAGAGAAAATGGAGGGAATTTATTCAGAGATGGAATGAAACACAACAAATAAGGGTACCCCAAATATCTCAGATATCTCAGAGTGAAAAAAACATCAACATGGTCACCACAAAATAAGAACAGTTGCTTCAAAAAGCAACATTCAGATAACACGAAGGAACTCTTGGAACTTAGTCCCAGGGAAAAAAGCAAAATTCAGTGAAATTATGTCCCGTGAAAACTCACCAAATTCTCCTGAAACTAGAGTTAAGGGATGAAGTAATATGAAATATTAACAGCAGATGTAAGAAAATTAAAGGACAAGTTCTGAAGGTCCAACAGCCAAACGTAGGACCAGTGATTGAATAAATCTGAAGAATGATCATTTCTAAATTAGAATTCCATACCCAGCCAAATAATCAATTAAATGTGAGGTAGAATAAACACATTTTAAGGCATATGGCATCTTGGAAATTCACCTCATGAGCTTTTCCTACTGAAGGCATTAGAGGTTGTAAACCCCCAAAAGGAGAAAGAAGGGGATGAGGCACAGGATACAGGGAACAGGGGATCCAGCACTGCAATGCACAGAGCGGTAGAAACTCATCAGGCATGATGGCAACCAGTCCAGACGGTGGGAGGCTCCAAGAGATATTTCTTCAGAAAAGAACTGATAGAACACCTGATGCAAATGAAAAAACTGGCAATGCATTTGGGTTGAATTAGTTAGAAAAGGGAACATAACAAGACAAGTATTATCTGTAGAAAAAAAAATGAAGCGGTACAGGGATAGAAAATTGGACTTTACTACATGGTTGAACTAAGAATTACATTTATGTCATCCTAATACTGTAAAGGCAACAGCAGGTATCAAAGTTACTATTTATGGAGGAATGGGTGAGGGTTTGGTGGGAAGCATATTTGCTGGAAGGAGGAGGAGAATAAATGTTTTATCTCCACATTTCCTGAGGGGAATCTACAGATAATGCTAAAAAATGAAAAATCAAGAAGAGCATAAAACATGTTATTCTCAGAAAAGGAGCTAAATACAAAGCAGCTGAAAGATATGGAAATATTTGCCTTTGAGAAAGAAGAATTTGAGATGTGGGAGGTGGAGGATTTTTTGTTATTTTGTAAAATACTCTGGAATTATTTTATCTTAATATAGATGTGTTATTCATAAGTTTGAGTAAAAACTTGTTAAAAAGATGGACAGGAGAGAAAAAAGAAAGAATATTAATTGTGCCAGACAAAAAGAAGGGTTCATTTATTGGCCTGAATGAAGTGCTTCTATTTTTTTTCTGCGATGACTTTAGTTGTAAATCAGCAAACCAGTTTCTGAGCAACTTTGGAAGAGCTTCTTATTTACATAACGTTGTTAAATATATTCTGATTATTAGCATTCTAAAATGTTGATCTAAAGGACTTCTAGATTTCTATTTTTATAATCTTATTGTAAACTCCTTTTGTTATAGTATGTAGTATTGGAAACGTATATTTCAATAAATGATTAGTCTACCACTGAGATATCTTATATGAAAAAAGAAAATATCATACAATAAAAATGTCAGAGCTGAAGACCTCATTAATTCAGTTTTTTTTTTTTTATATTCTACCTAGGCGAAGGTGAAGTTTACCTTTGAATGCCTAAGAAGAAATGAATATTGTAAGCATCATTATAAGGATATCTTGTTCATTTCTTTAAAAGAAACCGAAGATTGAATGTATATTATTTGAGATTCTTTTTAATTAAATAAATAGGTATACTGAGTTTATTCATGTAATAAATGCTCATTAAGTATTTTGTTCAGGCGTTCTGCTACATGAGAATGCAAAACTAAGAATGTATAGTTTATGCTTTTAAATTGACAGATAAGAAAATTGAAATTAAAATGAGCAATTGTGATTAAAAGAAAAATAACAATAATTGCTATAATTAAGGGTTAAGCAAAATGCTAATAGCCCAGGGGTATGAGTACAAGCTTCATACAGGGAGTTTCACTTGAACTACATTTGGAAGATAAATGAGAAGTATGTAGAGGAATTGATGGAGGACATTTTAGAAAAAAACAGTGACTTGGCTAGTGATACAGGCTTGGGTGCTCTGGGACGAGCCAGTGCTTCAGGAATGTGGGAACATTGAGCAGTGAGCCTGGAGAGAGAGGAGAGACCTTTAGATTTTATTGTTTAGGTTGAAGCAATGAGATACCATTGATAACTATTGTTATTCACAGTAGCCCAAATTTTCATGTTATTTCTATGTGCTAGCCACTGAACCAAGCATATTACATGAAAAATCTCATGTAATCCTTACAACTACTCTACTATTATCCCCATTTTTGTTTTTCAAGCATGACATTAATATGACAAAATTTGTCTAGAAAGTTCATTCTAACACCCACGAATAAATGGTTCAGTCAAGTAGAAAAAAAAATACACAATGATTTATACAGCTTGCATAAAAATATTCTATGTAATACAGCAAGGTAAAGGATTGGAAAGATTGTAGATACACCGTGGTTTTATTCTTTTCACTACTTCCAAAGTTTTAAAATGTGCATCTGTCAATTTTAAAATAACAATGTGTGTTATCAGAGGAAGAAGAGAAAAAGGGAAGGAAGAGTTTCAGCAAGGAGGAATAAAGTGAAGAGAGAACAAGAGAAGCAGAGACAGACAATTCCTGATAGGCACAATTGGAGGACAGATCAAATGAGAAGACGAACAGCAGAGAGACTCCTTCGTGATGGTCCAAGCAAAAGATAAGGAAGCCTCAATTCAGGCAGACTTCTATAGAAAGCAAATGGAGAAGATGGAGAAAAATAAGAGAAATGTTTAGAAAATAAATCAAAATGACCCGATCACCATTGGACACATAGATGGTTTTGCCCATTCTCCCAGACAGGGAGAGAGAAGACTTGATGAGGCTTCTGAGAGGAAACGATGATAACATGGTTCCTAGAGCTATGACATGATGATCTGTTGCTTATTTCACTCAGCATAACTAGCTAATGTCAGTTTATGCATTGCATAAATTGGTCACATTCCTGTTAAAGAAGAAAGGATGGTTGCATGTACTTGATCTCCAGGTTGATCCAGAACCTCAAGTTCTGACTTTGACTTAATGAAATCTTCTATTCTGTATTCCCAACAACCCAGAACTTTCATGGTATGACTGGCAGGAATATAAAAGAACAACTTGAGGAATCTAACAATACTGGTTTGAGAACATGGGTGACTCTTTATCCAATTGTATTGACTTGATTTTCCTTTAAAAAAAGTCTAATTGCCTGTAAGGTTGTGTGGGTTAGAATGTTAAAGCAACAGCTTCACTCTACTATATCGCAAATATATTTCCTTCCTGCTGACACTCTGCTTCCTTCTTCCTACAGGGCTTTATGAAACCTTTCTAACCAATGATGAACCAGAATGCTGTGACGTCAGGAGAGAAGAAAAATCAAATAACCCATCCAAAGGGACCGTAGAGAAAAGTGACTCCTGTCACAGGACATCGCTCACAGTGTCATCAGCAACAAGACTGTGCAACAGCAGACTCAAGCTGTGTGTTCTTGTACTGATTCTCTTACACACAGTGCTCACAGCCTCGGCAGCACAGAATACAGCCGGACTGAGCTTTGGAGGCATCAACACGCTGGAAGAAAACTCAACTAATGAGGAGTAACGGAAGGACGAGTGTCACCACAGCAGCAGCTGGCCCGCCATGAAAAATGGCAACTGCTGTCTCATGTAACAGAAACTGGGTGCTTTTACCCTCGAATTACTTATTGCAAGGCCTTTAGGGTAAAATTTAAACAGATGGGCCTGAATCCAAACAAGGACACAACCACAGCTTTTTATTGACTAAAAGGCTGGAAAGTGACTTTAAATTTCTCACACCATTTTATACACTGTGTTTTAATGTTTGGAGGTTTTATTTGCTTTCGTTTTGGTTTGGGTTTATTTGTTTGTTTATTTTTTGCACTTGTTAATGCAGGATTTATTTTGGGGGATGGTTTCTCAGAGGTAAACTAAGCCTTTTCACTGTCTCTATCTCTCTATATTTCTAGTCATTGTGTGTGTTCATCAGATAGTTCTGTCTTTATGTCCTGTCAGTTTCTATTAGAGGAATGATTGCTATGACCTCATGGTATAGCAAAAAACAACAACAAAAAAAGAATAAAAAATAAAAAAGACAAAAAAAAGAAAACAACAAAAAATAAAAATAAAAAAAATCCCTAAGTCTCCCTTCTACCCACAGAACCAATACCCTTCCCGGCCTTTCCTTTCCCTCGCCCTCTTCTCGTCCCCTAAGCAAACAACATCCGCTTGCTTCTGTCTGTGTAACCACAGTGAACGGGTGTGCACACTTGGTGGGCCTCTGAGCCCCTGTTGCACAAACCCAAACCAGAGCGGAGCCAAGGGGGCCTGGCAGGAGTTCCTTTTTAGCTGAACAAACAAGTGCTCTCCATAATAGGTGGAATCAGACAGTTAACACATTTTTATGTTGAAAACTAAATAAAAGGAAAAAAATTAAAAAAAAACACTATCATGAACTGTATTGCTCCAGTTCCCATCCCCAAGTGGCCCAGCCCTTTCTTGCTGGTCCAGTTGGACAGGAGCAGCTATCTAGAATCAGGATGCAGGGAGTGAGGAAGTTTTTTCCTTTGACAATGGAGGTGAGCTTTCATTGTGATTTCAGTTCTGTTGCAGTAATATACGAGCACATTTTGGCCATTGTAATTACAGGGAACAAAGGGATTGCGGACACATATCTGGACTTCTTTTCCTCCCTTATTGTTGTGGAAGAGACACTAGAAATGCTCAAACACCTGCAATATACAGAATATATACAATTTTATTCCAGTATTTCCCTAACATATGGTTTAAAATTATTCCAGGTATACAGTGTATGCAATTCTGCATTATCACAGAGGAACAACTTCTTTTTAAAAAAATAAATAGTTCAGCCATTTTTATTAATGTGCAAAAACTTTATCACTCTAACATGCTCTAGGTAGTTGAGGAAAAGAGGTCTGATCACTCTGTATTTTTTTTTCTTTGTGGGAACATTTCACCTGCTGAGTGTATATGAATTTGCTTTCTATAAAAGGCTTTTATGAGTTTACAGTAGAATCAGTGGAAGGAAGAGTTAATAAGGGCTGTTTTTAAAAAACAAACAAACAAAACAAATAATTAAAAAAAAACATTTTACATTCCTTCCTATTCTCTAACTACACTTGGGAAGTGCACTTCAGATAAGTTTGCAGTGTGACTGAGAGATGAAGGAAATCCATAGAAAAGGTCCTCTTAGCGAACAAAATTTAGTTATTAACTTTATAGCTATGAAATTTCCCTGGGCATTTGTTTTTGTTCAAACAGACTTTAACCTCTGCATCATACTTAACCCTGCAACATGCGTACAGTATGCATATTTTGTTTTGAAAAAAAATGTTTTGTTCCAGTCTGTTAAGAATATTCAAAAATAATAAAGGTATTGCTTAATAAAATTGCTAGAATTGTTTAGCAGTACATGCACAATATTTTACTAGATTCTTTGTTTTAATAGTGTTTTGTTGAGACTGAAAATCCTAAAATGGTCTGCGCAAATACAAAAAAAAAAAAAAAAAAAAAAAACCACCAAAAATGCAACATTCTCCCCGTTTTTGTTCTTTTAAAATTTTTTTTTTCTGCAAATGCAAAAACATTACATGTGGACAGACACATACACATAGGCATCATTTTTAATTTATGGAAACATCGTGCTTTTCTGGGGACACAAGCCGAGGAAGTGAATGGCTCGGGGGAGACACATTAATTGCATGGAATCGTTGACTATGAAACACTTGTAGAAATGAGCACTTGGGTATCCCTAACCAGTGGCGGAATGCAGATTCCAGTGGTGCTGGGTGGACAAGCAGCAGAGGGATTGAGGCTGCAAGAGATTCCTGAGGAAGAGCTCACAGGGTGATTTTATTCAGATGACCTCTAGGTGAATGGCCAGGAAAGAGTCTGTTCTGACCTATATCTACCTCTGCTGTGCTAAGGCCACTCCACATGCCGTCTCACCATGTCTTCAGCGTTCCTCATGCTGCTTCTCCCTGTGCCGCAGGCGTTTCCAATCTTGCCGGAAGATGACAAAGCAAATGCGAATTCACTCACTTTTATTGGCATGACAATAAAGTATTCTTTCTAAACACTTAGCAAAATGATGAAAAACAGTATTCCTTGAAAGATAGGTTTTCATTTTCTCAATATATTTTGAACTGACTAAAGTTCTTTACAAATACAAGAGGATCAGAAGGTTCCACTTACCCGTGTTTTAGCATTTGTTTGGAGATAGTGCCAACCAAAAGCTGGAAAACGAAAACCACCATTACTTTCCATAACAGGTACGCCCCCCAAAACAGTTTTGAAAGTTGGGAGAAACACTGCAGGCTTCATCGTAAATATAAAGTGATAATTTAGGTGAGGAAGGAACAGTAAGGAGAGAAGGGGAATGAATCCTTTCTCCGTATCAAGTCACCCAGCGTTGGAACAGTCTCTGATGCTGGCGGAATCTTTTTCTTGTCATGTTCATCTGTTCTATTACAGGAGAATGATTTCAGTGCCTAGTATCTATTATTGTAAGTGTGTAACCACTTTCTCACAATATTTCCATTGGACATGTTGAAGCAGAGCAGCTTCTTCTGGGGTCAGCCAGAGGATCCAAATAGGCAACAACTCCTTTCCCAAGCTCAGAAACAATCACTGATGATGCAGATTTCACCACATCCATTCATTCTTCGTAGTAGTTTTCCTGGCACACACTTGAGCATGCTTAAGGTTGTGCACATGCTCATTTTGAATGAGTAAGTTCAGCCCCTGCTCCTTTGTAATCATCTTGTTTAGTTTTTCCTGTAGAGGATGTCTACCGTATACTGGATAGTGAACTACAATATTAAAATAATTATTTCTGCAAGCAAGTTGAAAACCAAGAAAACAATATTTGTTTCATAAATGTGTGGCATAGATTTCCCTGTGTTTATTCTTTTTATCTGCAATCGAGAAATTTCAGTTTCTGGAATATGTTGGTACTGCTAAGCTAAATGGCAAATAACATAGAGTTCAATGTCATTCTTTATTGCATTTACATTTGGTGATACATTATACTGAACTTTTCTCGCATTAAAAGGATAGTACTTTTCCCCTCTCTCACAAGACAGTAAGTGAAAGTTGTTCTTTTGAATGGCATCATTACAAAAAGTAATTTGGTTTCTTACTAATAACTTGGTACCTTAAGTACTAGAACCTGTAGTAGTTAAAACAAAAGAAAATAGGCAGATAGCAGAAACAAAAGAATGACAGGAAAGGAAGGAAGGAAAGAAAGGAGTGAGGGAGGGAGGGAAGAAGGGAGGGATAGAGGCAGGGAATGAGGGGGAAAGGAGGTTTTATATGAATGAATAAGTACATAATTTTTCCGGGGGAAAAAAAGTAAATGAAATAAGCTATTGGATGCCAGACCCATGTGCCAAATACCTGAACTGGCATATGGCATTTGATATCTGAACAATGTCAAAAACGTTAATCAATCTGAAGCATGATTTACATTATTTCTCGCTAACAATGAAATTTACAATGTTCTTGCTACTCAAAGCATTAAATCAACAGAGAACTGAAAGCTGCATTTTGTCTTATTTAGAACTGCAGTCAGGTATTTCATTTCTTTTCTGTTTGTTTTTTCTTTTTCTTTTTTTTTTTTAGATGGGAACTTGCTCTGTTGCTCAGGCTGGAGTGCAGTGGCAAGATCTCTGCTCACTGCAACCTCCGCTTCCTGGGTTCAAGCAATTCTCCTGCCTCAAGCCTTCCGAGTAGCTGGGACTACAGGCTTGTGTCACCACGCCTGGCTAATTTGTGTATTTTTAGTAGAGACGGGGTGTTGCCATGTTGGCCAGGCTGGTCTTGAACTCCTAACCTCAGGTGATCCGCCAATTAGGCCTTTCAAAGTGCTGGGATTACAGGCGTGAGCCACCGCACCCAGCCAGGTATTTAATTTCATAAGTATACATATGCATATATGAGAAGATAGGGTTATATACCATGGTGTGTGTGTATATATATGTATGTATATATATATATGTACGTATATATATGTACACACACACACATACACACATTGCTTGCAAATAAAACTTCAACTAAAACATTATGTAGTCCGTAACAACACATGTATACCATAATGATGAATGATCCTACTTGTTTGTCAAAGTTAGAGCAGCATGGTCATTTAAAAACCATACCTACTTTGACATGGGAAACAGACTCTCAAAATGTCTCCATTAATGAGGAAATCACAATTTTGAAACACCCAGAATCTCCATCTTCCAAGCTTTAGCAATGTTTATAAAAAACCTAATATAGCAGGTAGGTATTGGGTGATGATGAATAAAAAGACTTTCAGTGGGGAGAAGGAAAAAAACTAAATATAGTTTTCAAGCAATGTCTTCATGACATTTATAAAAACTATGAAACTCTGCTACAAATTCTAGAAATTCTCCAAATAATTAGAAAATGTACAGATAATCTTCTTAGCCTTGGAATAAAAGTTAAGGCATGAAACAAAGTATGAACTATGGTTTTCATTCTTGAGATACTGTACTTCAGGGTTATGTTTACTGCACACAAGACATTCAGATTAAACTCAGAAGAAAATCACTTGGTTATTTTGTCCCAGGCCACACAGGTAAGTAATGCAAATGATGGAACTCAAGCATCTTCTGATTACAAATTGCTCAAGCTGGCTCGGAGGCACAGTGGGATCCATAGGTCTCAGACACACTTGAAGAGTTGAATGGATTTTCTCCATACTCCAAGATATTTGTAAAATCACTCAATCTTAAATGAAAAAATCAAAACCGTCAGGAAGATCTAGCGAATGTCTCAGAGTTTGTTTGTCATGTTACATTTTGTTCCATGACTTTGCTGTGTTGTTCAATATTTTGGAGGTAAAGGAGAAGAGGGTCTATGGGAATATTTCAATAAAATATAGATTTTTAATTTTTATTTTTAATGTGGAGAAAAGGCACAGGTTCTTAGGGCAAAGCCATAGTTTGGGTATGAGCTTTGGCTCCAGGTGACACAGAGAGGTCAATGATGTATTTGTACATGACACCATGCGAGAAGTGTACTTCGTAGCAACATTGGAGGCTTAAGAGAGATAAATAATATAAATGTGCCTGGACACAACAGGTGCTCAGTAGTAGTTAGTTATCGTGACTATTCATTCACAAAGTGAAACTGGATTGGCTTGCTCATAGGGACTGCTCCTGGAAGTTGTTCAGAGTTTCTGAATTTGGCTTATCTCTTAATTACGTATTTTTTAACAACACCTCACATCCTTAATCTAGCAGACTGACCGTCAATGGATTTTTCAACACAGTTTGAAAGTGTTAACATATATTACAGAACTAAAGTGAGCTCTGATGACTTTTAATATAAACAGCATTGGCCTCTTTTGATGTCCTCTCCCAAAAGGCTACTACTGACAAGCAAACGTTAGAGGCATCTACACAAATAGAGGTGGTTCTATATAAAGTGTAAATTGATCTAAGTGGTACTAGAACTACTGATGCAACTTCAAAGTGGTTGTTAAGCCACTCATAGATCAAAAAATATATATAAATGTTTGATGCCTCTGAATTCCTTAAAAAACACTATAGTAATTTTAAACTTATGAAAATGTTTAAATTGGGGGCGGAGCAAGATGGCCGAATAGGAACAGCTCCAGTCTCCAGCTCCCAGTGCAAGTGACACAGAAGACAGGTGATTTCTGCATTTTCAACTGAGGTACCGGGTTCATCTCACTAGGGAATGCCGGATAATCAGTGATGGTCAGGGACTGCAGCCCGACCAGCAAGAGCTGAAGCAGGGCGAGGCATCTCCTCACCTGGAAAGCGCAAGGGGGAAGGGAATCCCTTTTCCTAGCCAGGGGAACTGAGACACACAGCACCTGGAAAATTGGGTAACTCCCACCCCAATACTGCACTTTACCAAGGTTCTTAGCAAACGGGCACACCAGGAGATTATATCCCACACCTGGCCAGGCAGGTCCCACGCCCACGGAGCCTTCCTCATTGCTAGCACAGCAGTCTGTGATCTAACAGCAAGGCAGCAGCGAGACTAGGGGAGGGGTGCCCGCCATTGCTGAGGCTTAAGTAGGTAAACAAAGTCGCTGGGAAGCTCAAACGGGGTGGAGCTCACAGCAGCTCAAGGAGGCCTGCCTGTCTCTGTAGACTCTACCTCTGGGGACAGGGCATAGCTAAACAACAACAACAACAACAACAAAAAGCAGCAGAAACCTCTGCAGACGCAAACAACTCTGTCTGACAGTTTGAAGAGAGCAGTGGATCTCCCAACATGGAGGTTGAGATCTGAGAACGGACAGACTGCCTGCTCAAGTGGGACCCTGACCCCTGAGTAGCCTAACTGGGAGACATCCCCCACTAGGGGCAGACCGACACCCCACACCTCACACGGTGGAGTACGCCCCTGAGAGGAAGCTTCCAAAGCAAGAATCAGACAGGTACACTCGCTGTTCAGCAATATTCTATCTTCTGCAGCCTCTGCTGCTGATACCCAGGCAAACAGGGTCTGGAGTGGACCTCAAGCAATCTGCAACAGACCTACAGCTGAGGGTCCTGACTGTTAGAAGGAAAACTAAAAAACAGGAAGAACACTCACACCAAAATCCCATCAGTACCTCACCATCATCAAAGACCAGAGGCAGATAAAATCACAAAGATGGGGAAAAAGCAGGGCAGAAAAGCTGGAAATTCAAAAAATCAGAGTGCATCTCCCCTTGCAAAGGAACGCAGCTCATCGCCAGCAACGGATCAAAGCTGGATGGAGAATGACTTTGACCAGATGAGAGAAGAAGGCTTCAGTCCATCCAACTTCTCAGAGCTAAAGGAGGAATTACGTACCCAGCACAAAGAAACTAAAAATCTTGAAAAAAGAGTGGAAGAATTGATAACTAGAATAATTAATGCAGAGAAGGCCATAAACGAACTGACAGAGATGAAAACCATGACACGAGAAATATGTGACAAATGCACAAGCTTCAGTAACCGACTCAATCAATTGGAAGAAAGAGTATCAGCGATTGAGGATCAAATGAATGAAATGAAGCGAGAAGAGAAATCTAAAGAAAAAAGAAGAAAAAGAAATGAACAAAGCCTGCACGAAGTATGGGATTATGTAAAAAGACCAAATCTACGTCTGATTGGGGTGCCTGAAAGTGAGGGGGAAAATGGAACCAAGTTGGAAAACACTCTTCAGGATATCATCCAGGAGAACTTCCCCTACCTAGTATGGCAGGCCAACATTCAAATTCAGGAAATACAGAGAATGCCACAAAGATACTCCTCGAGAAGAGCAACTCCAAGACACATAATTGCCAGATTCACCAAAGTTGAAATGAAGGAAAACATCATAAGGGCAGCCAGAGAGAAAGGTCGGGTTACCCACAAAGGGAAGCCCATCAGACTAACAGCAGATGTCTCGGCAGAAACTCTCCAAGTCAGAAGAGAGTGGGGGCCAATATTCAACATTCTTAAAGAAAAGAATTTTCAACTCAGAATTTCATATCCAGCCAAACTTAGTTTCATAAGTGAAGGAGAAATAAAATCCTTTACAGATAAGCAAATGCTTAGAGATTTTGTCACCACCAGGCCTGCCTTACAAGAGACCCTGAAGGAAGCACTAAACATGGAAAGGAAAAACCGGTACCAGCCATTGCAAAAACATGCCAAAATGTAAAGACCATCGAGGCTAGGAAGAAACTGCATCAACTAACGAGCAAAATAACCAGGTAATATCATAATGGCAGGATCAAGTTCACACATAACAATATTAACCTTAAATGTAAATGGACTAAATGGTCCAATTAAAAGACACAGACTGGCAAACTGGATAAAGAGTCAAGACCCATCAGTCTGCTGTATTCAGGAGACCCATCTCACATGCAGAGACATACATAGGCTCAAAATAAAGGGATGGAGGAAGATCTACCAAGCAAATGGAGAACAAAAAAAGCAGGGGTTGCAATACTAGTCTCTGATAAAACAGACTTTAAATCATCAAAGATCAAAGGACACAAAGAAGGCCATTACATAATGGTAAAGGGATCAATTCAACAGGAAGAGCTAACGATCCTAAATATATATGCACCCAATACAGGAGCACCCAGATTCATAAAGCAAGTCCTTAAAGACTTACAAAGAGACTTAGACTCCCATACAATAATAATGGGAAACTTTGACACCCCACTGTCAACATTAGACAGATCAATGAGACAGAAAGTTAACAAGGATATCCAGGAATTGAACTCATCTCTGCAGCAAGAAGACCTAATAGACATCTACAGAACTCTCCACCCCAAATCAACAGAATATACATTCTTCTCAGCACCACATCACACTTATTCCAAAATTGACCACAGAATTGGAAGTAAAGCACTCCTCAGCAAATGTACAAGAACAGAAATTATAACAAACTGTCTCTCAGACCACAGTGCAATCAAACTAGAACTCAGGACTAAGAAACTCAATCAAAACCGCTCAGCTACATGGAAACTGAATAACCTGCTCCTGAATGACTACTGGGTACATAACGAAATGAAGG